GTTGGCAGATTTATAAATGTGGAGTGGGGTCTACTTATTTTGATGTGGTGTGGAAAATTACCATAAAACCCTTAATGATTATATAATTTTGAATTTTTTTAGTTGTTGGATCATCCGATCTAATGGTTATGATGTATTCTTATTTCTTTCATTGAGCACCATTCTTACTGGAGCGTGACCCATTGTATGATAATTTTTTTATTTTATTTTCTTTATTTTTATATAGTGTAATAACTTTCAATTTATGTAATTTCATGAATAAATACACATCTAACGGGTAAGCTAATATATTTTTAAAATAATTTTTTTAAAAAAAGGTTTTAAGGATTATTCGTACAAGAATTTGGTAAAGCAAAATTGTTTCTCGTCGAAAGCAAATCGATACCCACTCCCTCCAGGACATTTACGTAGTGTTTGGTTGGGGGAAAAAGGAGGGGAGGGGAGGGGAGGGGAGGGAGTTTTTCAGCTTTCTCTTGTTTGGTTTGTTTTTGTGGAGGGAGGGGAGGTAAAATTTCTGGGCCAAAATCCCTTTTGAACGGAAAATCAGCTCCCCTCCAATTTTGGGGGAATTTGGAGGGGAAGGAAGAGCTTATAGCTAATGGTACTAATATACCCTTCTTAACTCATTGTAATTACATAATTACTGCATATAAATAAAACTCAACCCTAACACATTCTTGAAGAAGGCAGAGGAAGAGAGGGACTGCGATAAGGGCTGTGCGACAAATTTTTCTCATCTGTGGTTCGTTCTCCCAGGTAATCTTTTTCTTCAACTTTTTCAATTTGCAAGTTTATTCAATTCTTTGGAGTCTGTACATGTTTCTTCTAGGGCAAATTATTTGATTTATTTTATTGAAATTCTTCAAGATTTCTTATTTGAGAGTTTAATCAATCAACAACCATGTTTATATTGTTAGTAGATGTATCAACAATATTTGTTTATAATGTGGTTCCAGGTGTACAGTATAGCCTCAGGCCCTCACCTTTTTATGTTAAGTAATTATTGTGATTTTTATTGTTATATTTTTGTTTTTGTTCTCGGTGCTTGAGGTTGATAGTGCATGTTGTTCTATAATTTTGCTTCTGCACTTGGGAAATTATGTAGTGGCTAGATTTTCTACTTCAATTTCTATTATATCCATGGGTTCCACATGGTATTTCTATTAGAAAAAAAAGGTAGAGTGTTAATTAACCAATTAGAAAATGATGCATCATCAGGCATATTTGTGAAAGAAATTAAGACAAAAAATAAAAGAAATGTGTTAGCTGCTTGTACATTCGATTTAAAATTCACATATGTGCTTCCTGGATGGGAAGGCACTGCCTCTGATTCAAGAATTATAAAAAATGCATTAAGAAGAGAAGATAAGCTAAAAATCCCTGAAGGTAATTGGAATTGTAATCTCAAAATGTATTTCATATAGCTTAATATTATGACACAACAATTTCTCATCTTAAGAATTTTAAATTTTGTTATTATTATAGGAAAATATTATCTTGTGGATGCTGGCTTCATGTTAACGAGTGGATTGATTACACCTTATAGAGGAGTGCGCTATCGTTTGAAAGAATACTCGGCAAAAAATCCACCACGGACTTTTAAGGAATTGTTCAATCTTTGTCATGCATCTTTACGTAATGCAATTGAAAGAGCCTTTGGTGTACTAAAAAAGCGTTTTGAAATATTATCTTCGGCTACAGAACCTAATTTTGGAGTTAAAGCGCAAAAACTCATCATTGTTGCATGTTCTTCATAATTATCTAATGAATGTGGACCCTAATGAAGAACTTATTGCTGAGGTAGATGATGAACTTGCAAGACAAGATCCAATTGAAGAGAATAATTATGTTCTTGGATCTGATAGTGAAGAGGTTGCTCGGGAAGAGTTTATAAGGGATTGTATAGCACATGAGATGTGGTTAGACTATGAACGTGATCGTTCATAATGTATGGTTTGCACAATTTCGGTGGTTTTGTTTTATTATTAACTTGAATACATTGTCTTTGTTATTTGTGTATTTGAACTTGATTAATTTTATTTATATGAGATGTTTGGAGTTATGAATTGTTATCTTTTGAGGTTGTAATTGTTGTCATCTATGTTTTTGGTTTAAATTATAATATGCATGTCTCATTTGTTTTAAACTTTGTAGAATGGGTCCCAGGAAGTCTTCGGGTCCAACTATCTCTGGAAAAGAGAACTTAACTTGGACAAGAAGTATGGATGATGCTCTTGTTGATGCTTTTGTTAATGAACATAATTGTGGTCATAAAGTTAATGTTACTTTCACTAGTACTGCATATGAGAACATTGTGAAAGAGCTTAGTGCCTTATTTGACAAAAAGATTGATAAGGAGAAAGTGAAAAATAGATGGAAAACTTTGAAGAAAATTTTTTCAGAAGTCTATGATATTTTTAGTGGTGGAATGAGCAGGTTTGCTTGGAATCCAGCTACAAAACTATGGGATGCGGAGCCACAAGTATAGGAAGCTTTGATTGAGGTTGTAATAAATAGTATTTCATTTATGTCACTCTTATTATCATGTTTGTTAGCTTGTTATTTCATTCTATAACATATTCTTATGGCATTTCACTCACAGGCAAAACCAAAGGCAGCAACATTGAGATTTGTCCCATTTCCAAATTATGAGAAAATGGTTCTTTTATATGGAAATGATAGAGCAACTGGTGAGGATGCGGAGACCGCATTTGAGATGAGAAAGAGGCGAGCATCATCTACTGAGGATCTATTTACCACAACAATCGATGAGGTTGACAACCTTGTATCTCAAAATGAAGTTACCTTGGAGAATATTGGTGATACTATTGACGTGGATAATGATATCTTCAGTTTCTCTACTCAACATCTTTCTACGGGAGCAAACAGTGGAGCAACTAGTAAGAAAAGAAAAAAAGGAAGATGCAATGAAGGATAAAGCGTCCGAGTTTGAGATTATTAAAGGAGCAATAGATAATGTCGCTAATGCACTACGAGAAGGGAATGAGCTATTCAAAGACATGTACTGCCATAAAGTTCCCCCAATTTCTGGCAAACAAACATGGACTTTACTGAAGGAATGCGGTTTTGACAATAACTTATTGACGGACATCTACTGTTTTCTTATGGGTGACATCGACAAACTTCGATGTGTTGTTCAATGTCCGCCTGAAGCTCGTAAGGATGTTATCATGAGAATGATGTTTGGCCCCTCCAATCCACCATTGTGAGCAAAATGATGTTGTTATGTGGTTTCACATGTTTTGGAAATTTAAAACTTAAGATATTTATTTGAAGTTTAAGATGTCATTATGGTGCAAAGGAACTATCACTTTGTATGTTTTGGTAGAACTACTATAGTGAAATAACTGTTGTGTATTTTGATGCACTTTAGGCCTTATGGATGTTTGCAGGATTTTATTATATTTTTGCTATGTTTATGTATAGTATTTTGTACTTATATATTATAAACATTATCTGATGAAATGTGATTTGCAACCCTTACTTTTTAAACCAAACAAGATTTATCATTTTCCTTCCACTCCTCTGGTATAAAATTCTTTCAAACAAGATAAAATTATTTTAGTATCACTTCTCCCTCTCCTCCCCTCCCTTCCCTACCATTAAAATCCCTCTCCTCCCTTTCCCTGCCTTACATCCCTCCCCTCCATTTCCCTCCCTTAGAACCAAACGTAGCCTTATACCATCTTTCCCTATACCATCATCGGGTCTCCGACGGCACCTCTGTGATCACCTCAGCCAAAGTTCCGCCGCCGCCGCCCATGGATGAGGAACTGCTGGAACTACAGAGGCAGTTCGAGTCCGCACAGCAGGCGAAATCCAGCATCCGCTTGTCCGAAAGAAACGTGGTCGAGTTGGTCCAGAAGCTCCAGCAACTCCAAATCATCGACTTCGATCTCCTTCACACCACCTCCGGGAAAGAATACATCACACCCGTAAGCAGAATCAGCCGATCAATTTGATTACTCCTTGATTTTTCATTATCTCTTTATAATTTTGAAAAATGATCAAATTTATCGCTGCATGTGGGGATTATGTCGTTGGTAGGAGCAATTAAGGAGCGAAATAGTTTCTGAAATCAATAGGCGAGGCCGAGTATCACTGATTGACTTGGCAGATGCCACGGGGGTGGATTTATACCATGTCGAGAAACAATCGCTGCACGTGGTGTCAAGTGACTCCTCGCTTATGCTAATTAACGGTGAAATAATCTCGAATTCCTATTGGGACACTGTTTCTGAGGAAATTAACGAAAGGCTCCAGGAATGCAGTCAAATTTCGTTGGCAGAAATCGCGGCCCAGCTGCAGGTTGGCTCGGAACTGGTTATTTCTTTCTTGGAACCCCGTCTTGGGACTCTGGTAATATTTCTATTGGTGCTTGAACTTTCAGCTTATTTAAAAAGATACTTGGGACTTTGTAGTGATTTCAATCGTGGATGTTGGGATAGGTAAAGGGAAGGCTCGAAGGCGGACAATTGTATACGCCGGCACATGTTGCGCGTGTGAGTGCAATGGTTCGTGGTGCAGCAAGAGGGATTGCTGTTCCTATGAATTTGTCAGCTTTGTGGAGCTCATTGCAGGCATTATTGCAAGTTATGGATGGTTTCAGTGGCGTGGCAGTTGAGAATTCCTTATTCCAGTCACTGTTTAATGGGTTGGTTAAGGAATCCGAGATCCTTGGCTCACTTCGTGCTGGAGTGCACTGGACACCTTCCGTATGTGATATATTTTATTCTGAATAATATATTTTTAAATTGTATTAAAACTTGAATATGGGCTGTTTTTTTATGACGTAACTCCTATCCTTGGGCAATTGATATTAACTGATTTATCTTTTGAATTAAAAAAAATTGCTGCCCTTTGTTTTATGTGTTTCAATGTATTTCATAAACGTATTGCTTCTGTTGTATGTGATATTTCAGGTCTTTGCCATGGCACAGAAAGAGTGTGTGGATTCCTTCTTTTCACAGGTGCAAAACCTTCTTTGTTTCTTTTATGTTTTGTTGCATTGATGATGTTAGCCTGATTGTATCGAGAGTAGTTTCTCTTTGTATACTTATTTCCGCGGAGCGTATTTTCCCTTTAATCTTTTTAAATATTGCTAATTCAGTAACTAGTGATTGTTTATTTGTTTGCATTGAGTCTGCCCTTATACTGTAATCAAGAATCATTTAACTAGTGAAGGAATAGCTTTTTGTAGCACTAGAAGTGATAAATTTAGGGAGGACATTGTTTAAGATAAATTGGAGATAGTGTACAGGATAAAACATATATGACAATAAAATAAGCTTAACTTCTTCTACAATTCACTTAAGATGATTATCGGTTTCTTAGTTTAGCTACCTGTAAGGAACTGATGTTTGGTGTCTTTTAACTCCTAGTTTTCAAAGATATATAATGAAAGGATCAGTACTTTTCCATGTTATGAAAATCCACTATTTTGAGGTACTTCTGCAAGCTTATTTTGTATTTACGTTGATTCTGTGTCCATTTTGCTTGATATTTTTACGAAGATATATAAGAAGCTAGCATGTGTAATGAATCGCTCGATTGTCTCCACTTTCAGTGATAAAGTTACACACATGCCATCAGTGTATTAGTATAAATTTTCCAGATTTCCGAAAGGTCCCGTGTTAAATGTTAACTATATTAAAGAGCATTGAGTTGTTTGATCCTCTTATTGGTCCCTTATTTTTGTTTTATCATCACTTTCTTTTGTTAATTTAATCTAAGTGTGGACAGGTTGATAGGTTCCTTAGAATTATGGTTATTTCACTATTTAATGCCTGTCTTATTCTGTTGAGACAAGTTTTACTGGGTTATCGGTTTTAAGCTTGTGTGGGAGAATGTCCCATGGAGAATGCAAGGTTTTGTCCAATTTTCCTCCTGAGATTCACTTCTGCTAGTTGAACAGTTACGGGATCATTTGTTCTTTCATTCTATCAAACTGAGGACATGGGGGCACACTAAAAATGTGACTAGTCTGAACTGTGCCATCCACGTAGGAGCTGTATGATAAGAATTGAAGGAACTATATTTCCTGATTAAAGATTGCAATGGGGAATTCTCAAGCTCTAGATTTTATAGCATACATTAGCACCAACGATGATAGATAAATCCAGAACTCCTAAAATGCAAATGATATGAGCACAGATATATACATTACCTACGCGAGTGACCTCCATATGAAATATAATGCAACGATGTAAAGTTTTACCTTTAACGTAGGTGGGTGAGGGCAAATTTAAAACAATGACATCAAAATTGATGTATAATTGGTCAATTTTCTTCCTTAAAGCCCTAAACCAAAAATATTTGTACTTATCTTATGTATCAAGGTGAACACTTGAGAATATTTTCACATTTTTACTTTTTCTGCTGCAGAATTCCTTCATAAGTTATGAAACGCTCCAGAAACTTGGAATTCCACAACCTATTCAGTTTTTGCAGGTATATTAATCTATTCGGATTTGTTTATTTTCTCCTCCAATTTTGAGTGATAGAATCAAATTAAACTGGCATTCCACTGCCCGAACCAAATCACTTGATGTATTAATAAATAGAAATTCTTTAGTTGACTGACTAATTTTTTTCCTGTGCATAATGAATTTAGTCCAGATATCCTGAAGGTAAACCTCTTGCCAATGCCTTCGTTCATGGTTCACTTATTGAGATGTTGGATGCTGCCGTGGAGGATGCCATAGAACGTGGTAGCTGGTAAAACTAAATGCACATATCCTTTCATTATTATTTGCACTCCTGTGAAGGTATTTGAAATGATATCAGCAACAAACTTCTTTAGTTTGTCTGTTAGAACACAAAAGCTACCGGTAGTGTTGTAAATTCCATGTTATCCCTTGTGCATTTCACAAATAGGGGTGTTGCATTGAACAGACACATGATTTGAAATTTGAAGTTGGAACAATGCATGGTCTGTAAATTGGTTCTTTTTTCAGCATTCATCTTCTATGCTCTTTTGGATATGTAGCAATAGCACCATCAGAGCCCTTAAATTCGATATATCATTGGCTTTATATCCTTTCATTCACAACCAAAGTAAATTGGTTTCCTAATTTTGAGGAACTCGGCATTATAAACCAGCTATGCTAGACTGCCACTGTTGCTAATCTCTGGTTGAAACTTGTCATTCGTATCCAGAGAGTAAATTATTTTGCTAATTTTGAGGAACTAGGTTGGTGATTGGTAATAAAAATTTTTAGTTTTGATTGGATTTATTGGATAAAGTTAGTTAATTTTTAAAAAAGCTGATTTAGTGGGATTTTGTATTTATATTAAAGTAATATTTAAATTTGTAATGATTTAAGTTGATGTGATGTAAAAGTATGAGAGAAGTTGGAAATGATAGTTAAAATTTTGTGAGTGAGTGAATAGGGAATTAAAATTGATGTGATGTGTGAGGATAATTGATTATATTGATAATATTGAGGAGAGTTGAGTTATATTAGATTTGAGTTGGATTTGGAGTTAAAAGTTTGTAAAAAAATTATCTTACCAGAAATAATCGATTTATTTTATAACCAATCGCACCCTAGGCATCGTGAATCAACTAGGCTAGACTGCTACTGTTGAGCTAAAGCATCAAAATTGATCTTGTAAATTGCAGCTAATCCTTCTGTAATCCAAAAAGTGAATTAGTGGGAGGGAATAAATTCAATGCTACGTGTGCTTAATTTGCATGTGACAATTTTCAAATTATAAAACAACTATTGCCAACACATATTTGAGAGAATAGCACTCTTGTTATATTCAGATCAAGTGCCTATGTTGATGAAAGAAGCTTTATTAGTGGAGTTTTGAATTTCTATTTCGTGGATGAGATATCATGTAAAGGTAGGGTATGACCGCTGATTAAAATGTTGACTTGCAGCAAGGAACAGCTTCAGTTAGAAACTTCTGTAAATGTTGGACTAACCTTTGGGAGGAAATGCATAATCAATGCTGATACACTTAAATAATCACCTGGCGAGGAACAAATAATTTCTCCATTGTCTAAATGAATGAAATACTATATAGCCGTGTCAATACATTTTAATATAATTCTTTACAATAATATAAATATATATATATATATATATATATATATATATTGTGCAGTAGTGTATTAATAGCAATTTCATGATTCCAACTTTGTTTAGTACTATACTAAGGAGTGCTTAAAGAATAGAAAACAATTTGTTGAGTAATTGTTTGAGTGGAACCATTTTCAGCCCTGGATACATTTTACTTGACGGTGATGTTTTTATATTTTCCCCGTGGTTCCTCTGATATGTATGAATTGCCTGCTCAAAACATAGTTTTATTTTCTTTCTATGCAGGATAGATTCACTTACAATTTTGCCCACGTCCTTTGCGTCCCAAGATGCATCTAAGATCCTTTCCTTTTGTCCATCTGTTCAGAGAGATATAAAGGTGACTGATGCCTTATCCATTTGACAATTGACATAACTTTATGCTACTTATCACAGGTAATTCGCCTTACATGTTTCTTATTAACATGTGTTCTCTTTCAGTCTAACAAAGCACACATGCTGGGGGAATCCTACATTTTTAGTGATACATTTGTGAAGGTAAACGTCGTAAATTTCTTAAATTCTGTCTCATGAATCTAAGTTTAACTTGTTAAAGAGAAAGGAAAACTTTTTGCTTGATTGTCTTATAGTGTTGACTTAATTTACACTACTGTATCCGGCATATCTATTGTCCTAAATGGTGCATGATATTAGGTTAATCCGCTTTCTTCTTATTTTGTGTTAATTTATTTGTCCTTGCTTTTGTCTTATATTTTTCTTTACTATTCCCATGACGCAGCTGCTTGGAGACTATTTTGTAATTCACTTGTTTAATAGCCATGTGTGAGCCATAGTATGTGAAGCTAACATTGTACCTTTTTCTCGGCGTAGTCGGGCGGAATCATTGCTAACAAGTTTTTTGACTGAATGCCTTAGGCTCTTTTCCATTAAATAGTAATTTGTGTACAATCTATCTTAGGTAAACTGCTAGTCTAGCTCCTAGTCTACCGCCTTATATACTCCTAAAACATAACTCTGAATATTTACAATTAATGGTTAGCCATAAGTTACTCTTTTACAATTATGGGTCAACCATAAGTTACTCATTTACAATTAAGAGTCAGCCATAAATTTCTCCATAATTTTTGCCTTGTTATCCCCCCTCAAATTGATGTTGGATGGTGAAGAAGCATCAATTTGTCAACTAGGAACTGATGTGGAAGAGAGATGATAGAATCATCATATGCTTCACGAATAGAATGACAATCTACGTCGATATGCTTAGTGCGTTCATGAAACATTGGATTAGCAGCTATTTGAATAGCACTAGTGTTATCAGCTTGAAGCGGAGTAGGTTTAGTTTGGGGAAATCCAAGCTCACCTAGTAACCCACGAAGCCAAATTATTTCAGAGCACGCAGAGGACATAGCTCGATATTCAGACTCAGTAGATGACTTAGACACGCGATCTTGTTTCTTGCTTTTCCAAGAAACAAGAGAATTACCGAGAAACATGCACCAACCAGTGACAGAACGTCGCGTATCAGCACACCCAGCCCAATTAGCATCACTGTATGCAACTAATTGTGTGGAAGAATTGGCTGGGAAGAAAAGACCACGAGCAGACGAGCCTTGTAGATACCGAATGATGCGACAGACAGCAGCCAAGTGAAGAGTGGTAGGTGCTTGCATAAACTGACTAACTTGTTGAACTGCAAAAGAAATATCTGGTCGAATAATAGTCAGATAGTTTAGGCTACCAACAAGTTGTTGATATAAAGAAGGATTTGGCAAAAAATCACCATCGTCACGTCGATATTTGACATTAACTTCCAATGGAGTTTCAACTGAACGACTTTGTTGAAGGCCAGCCAAAGCAACCAAATCTTGGATGTATTTATGCTGGTGTAGGAATGTGCCACTTGAGGTAGATTGCACTTCAAGACCTAAAAAATACTGTAAAGAACCCAAGTCTTTTATATGAAAAGCACTCTGAAGTCGGTCTTGAAGTTGGGAAATAAATTGAGTGTCTGTCCCTGTAATGACAATGTCATCAACATATACTAAGAGCATGACAATGCCCTTTACAGTCTTGCAAAGAAATAAAGAGGAATCATAGCGACTCTGAACAAAAGAGAAGCTAAGAAGTGTAGATCGAAACTTATCAAACCAAGCACGGGGAGCCTGTTTTAATCCATAGAGTGAACGCTTAAGCTTACAAACATCAGAAGATGGTGTAGAGAATAATCCTGGTGGTGGAAGCATGTAAATATCTTCTTTAAGATCTCCGTGTAGAAAAACATTCTTAACATCCATTTGCCTCAGCGACCCAGCCCTTAGAAGCAGCAATAGCTAGAACAAGTCTCACAGTTGTCATCTTCTCTTCGCTACTAGAGCAAATGTCTCCTCATAGTCAACCCCATACTCCAAGAGCTACCAATCGTGCTTTATGTCTGTCAAGCGTGCCATCAGATCGTAATTTAAGGGAATATACTCACTTACATCCGATAGGTTTAACACCAGTAGGACAAGAAACGATATCCCAAGTATGATTCTCTTGAAGTGCTTGAAGTTCCTCTTCCATAGCCTTTATCCAGCATACTTGTGTTTTGGCCTGAGAGTAAGAAGTAGGTACGCTAGTATCAGCTAGAACGGCAGAAAAACCATACCATTCAGGAGGGTGGCTGATGCGAGAAGATCTACGAAGAATAGCTACAGATGGATCAAGATGTTGAACTTGTGTAGAAGAATGGCGTCGTTGGTAAACAATGCCGGGTTTAAAACGCTCAGTTGTTGATTGTTGAACTTGATGGTTGTCATCAAAACTAGGAAGGATAACCTGCTGGAAGGAGAGATGAGCTGTTGAAAATAAAACTCATTCTCCTGAGTTAAGACCCGCGATTCAGATAGATGAGGGTAAATTTATGAGCTCGAATATTACTGAACTCTATAGAAGAGTTATCTATCGGAACAATATTCTTACTTTCAAAGAAAATGACATTGCGAGAAATTCGTATACGATGAGCTACAGCATCATAGCACAAAAAACCTTTGTGAGAAGTGCTATACCCTATAAGACAGACTGGGTTGCAAGTTTGTGACGCTCATGAGAAGGCAAATGAACAAAACAAACGCAGCCAAAAGTATGCAGCTTAGAGTAATCAGGATGTAAGCCAAACAAACGGTAGCAAGGTGAATCAAAAGTCAATTGTTGAGAGGGCAATCGATTGATCAAATAGACTGCAGTTGACAAAGCTTCTACCCAAAATTTAGCCGAAACTGAAGATTGCAACAATAATGTTCTAACCATATCCAACAAGTGACGATTCTTCCATTCAGCTACCCCATTTTGTTGGGGGGTATAAGGGCATGAACGCTGAGATATGCTACCTTTTTGTTGCAAAAACGATTGAAACTCATGTGATGTATATTCACCACCATTATCTGAGCGAAGTACCTTGATACAAGTCAAAAATTGCCTCTCAACATAAGCCAAAAAAGTTTGGAAAGCATTCAACACCTCAGATTTTGTGCGCAGAAAATATATCCTTGTGAAGCGACTATAGTCATCTATAAACGTCACAAAATATTTATACTGAGCATGAGAAGAGAAGTAACAGGTGTAATGCCCCAAACATCAGAATGTACTAGATCAAAACATCTATAAGCACGGCTTCCATCAGTAGGAAAAGGTAAAACCTTACTCTTCCCTAGTTTGCATGTAGAACAACCATTAGACAAACCAGAATTTAAACACTTATCCTTGGAACCAAGAAAACCTTGTTTCATTAAATGAGATAAAATGACATCATTTGGGTGGCCCAATCGTTTATGCCAGATTTCAGCCTTATTATCAACTACCATTGAAGCTAAACATAAAGCTTGTGGAGCAGTAAACTGCAATGGAAATAATCTTCCAACTTTAGGCCCCTTCGCTATCACCTTCCCCGACACTTGATCCTTGTGCAGCCATTTAGAGAAAAATGCACTTCACAGTCATCATCTACCAATTGTCCAACAGAAATCAAGTTAGTAGATAATTCAGGCGAGACAAACACATCATGAAAAGAAGAACCAATATCACCAATGGCTGTTATTGGAATGTTATTGCCATTAGCAACTTGAATATTTTGTGTGCCAGTATACTTCCGAAGGTTATGTAAAAGCTTTGGAGAACCAGTCATATGATTAGATGCTGCAGAATCAGAAAACCAAGTAGAAGAGGTCATGTTACCTTGACCTTGGAGTTCAAGAGCAGAAAATGCAGTACAAATCATTTGTTGGACCATTTCTGGAGTCATAATGGGTTGATTTGTGATAGTTGCTGCAGAACCAAGAACTTGAGAACCTGAAACAGTAGCTTGAAAGGCTTGTGCTTTTCGATTTTCTGGCCTTGTTGGACACTCTTTAATGATGTGTCCATTTTGCTTGCAATAGTTGCAGAATTTCTTGGTACAGTTGCGACTGTCCCATCTCTTTGCAACTGTAGCACTGAACGAAACCCTTTCTCGATTCTTCCCCTGAGCAGCAAAAGCAACATTATTGAGAACCTGAGATGTTTCTTTTGACCCCCCATGACAGCAAGAGTAGCCAATCGTTGAGGCCTCACGTAGTAGTTCACCAAGACAAACATCTAATGTGGGTGCTGGACTTCGATTCAATAAACCTGCCCTGGCGCTCTCAAATTCTGGTCTCAGCTTCATCAAAAACTGATCGCGCTTGGTCTCTTCATGAACCTCTTGAATGCTTGCCAAGGCCTCATTAGATACGCTGGAATAAAGAATATCAGAATATTCACTCCAAAGATTTATAAAACCAGAATAATACTGATCAATAGAAAGATTGCTTTGGCCAAAATTGTTGATGTCGAGTTCAAGTTGAAATCGCCGAGTAGTATTTTCTTGATTGTATACGCGCTTCAAGAAATCCCACATTTGTTTAGCAGTACGAAATGATCTTAGGCTGTTGACCATATGACTTTCAATGGATGCTAGAATCCAGAAATAATTTTGGCATCCTTACTCTCCCATTGACTGAGTTCCCTAGCTTCTTTAGGAGGAGGAGATGTTCCATCAATGTGATTCCAGAGTTCCTTTCCTTTCAGAAACATTCGAAACTGAAATTCCCAAGCACCATAGTTTTTCCCTGTAAATTTGAAACTCAGTCTCTGCAGGTAGTTTTCCGACATGATCTGACATTCTAACAAGAAGAAAGCTTCTATTTTCTCCCCAAAAAAATATTCAACCACTATGTGATTGACCCAAAATCCCCAACGAAGTTGTTAATAAAAAAATTTGATCAACCAAAATCTCTGAAAATTTCCCGAATGAAAAAAAAAAAAAAACAAACAAAGTGGCTCTGATACCATAACAAGTTTTGACTAAATGCCTTTTTCCTTAGACTCTTTTCCATTAAATAGTAATTTGTGTACAATCTATCTTAGGTCAACTGCTAGTCTAGCTCCTAGTCTACCGCCTTATTTACTCCTAAAACATAGCTCTGAATATTTACAATTAATGGTTAGCCATAAGTTACTCTTTTACAATTATGGGTCAACCATAAGTTACTCTTTTTCAATTAAGAGTCGGCCATAAATTTCATCATAATTTCTGCCTTGTTAATTGCCTGAGAAAGCAAGGGTCTGAAGTGGCTGCTTGTATTCTTAATTATTATGTTGGTTGAGTATGATATATTGGTCTCAAGGTACACGACTTCATTAAGCATTACTTTTGAGAAACGTGGTAAACATTGTGAAATTAATTTAATAGTTCGTCTAGAGCGAGGCATTGTCTTATAAATTGTAATCTGTTAGACTTTTTGTATCGATATCATATTCATAATTTCTTTAGTGTCTCTGCTTTACCCTTATTTTGAACGTTGAGGTTAAATATTACAGTTATATGAGGATTGTTGTTCCCTGTTATTTGCATAACTCAGGTTTAAGACCCAGTATCTATGTATCAGCCTATAGCATCTTATGGGCCTGTCAGTAACACCAGATATTCAAATGCAAAACAAGGAACCAACATCCAACCTGTTCGAAACCTGTTATCTTGGACATCATCTCATAACCCTGATGCGGCATTCAATAGTCCTGATTGTTTTATTTTTTTTTTATTTTTTTTTTATTTTTTTATTTTTTATTTTTGCCAGTGGTGTATCCATTTAGATAGATAAATAATCTCGATCTTGAAGTGTNTATCTGTTACAGGACTAATTGCTTCTGGGTCGTTTGATGATCCACATGCCATAAAAGATGCCAGACAGGGACTTGTTACTAGTGGCAGTTTGACTGAACCACAAGAAAATGACAATCAAAGTGGCATTGACAAATCAGTTTCAGAGAAAGGATCCAGGAAGAAAAAGGGAAAAGCAATTGGGAGTGCTAAAGCTGGAAGTGAAAGTGTTCCAGAGAACCAAGAATCTACTGCTACTAAGTCCAAGAAACGGCAGAAGAAAGGGAAAGTTATTCCAACTACGGAGGTTTCAGATTCAAAGCCGGGTGCTAAAAGGGATGCCAATAGATTAGATAACCCTAGCTTTCTATCAGAGGAATCATTAGTTCAGAGAATAATGTCTTTAATCCCTGACCTAGAAGAGCAAGGTTTAATGTGGAAAATGTATTCTAAATTTCCAATTAATTTGATTCCTTTTCTGTTTTTATCTAATCTTTGTAAGGACCTTTGTTGCATAGGTATGGACGATCCTGAGACCGTTCTTGCTCCTCTGGTGAACTATTTGAGACCGATGCTCATCAATTCATGGATGGAAAGAAGAAAGGCTGCTTTTACCGAGAATGCTCAGAAAATGAAACGGGTGCTTGATGATTTACAACGGAAGCTTGATGAGGTGACGACAGATACTTTTTTTTTTCTTTCTTGAGCTCGGGACATGCAAATATTTTTGTTGTATGTAAAAGTGTCTAAATTGAGGAGCGCGGCATTTAATCTTCCAGTTTTAACCATGTCCTGTGTCTTAATGTTTTCAATCTACAGATGAATGTTGCCAATCTTATATAGCGCACAGCTATTTCTTACATGTTTCTTTCTTCTGATGGACCTGTATATATACTCATGAATATCGGCACTTTACATACTCCTATTGATCATTATATCATTTGGCCCAGGCATTCTTAAATTTTCAACTATATGAAAAGGCCCTAGATTTGTTTGAAGATGACCAGTCAACTGCTGTAAGTATTTACCCAATTTCAATTTTAGTGCTCTTCTGTCTTAGTACCTAACAAGTTATTTCCTTTGCTTAATAGGTTCTTTTACATAAACACTTGTTGCGAACTTCAGGCACCCCTATTGTGGAAAATCTTTTAGTTAACCTGGTAATTATGCTAATTATTCCCAACATTTCTAATGTTTTGGACATTAACTGATTGTTGATGTGGGTCTGATATTCCGAGTTGTGCACACAGGATATGCACAACAAATTGAAGAATGGAATTCAACTTGAGGAATCGCAAGATCTTGAAACTGGTTTAATGAGCTCAGCGGATAGAATTATGCTGGTAGTATTTTGTTACTTCTCAGAGATGCTCTGGTACACTTTTTTTCCTCATTTTAACTCTAGACTTATAAGTTCCATGTTCTTCCTAGGCAAAGGGTTTGCCTGGATCTTTGTCAGTCAAAGCTGTTGCGTTGGTTGAATCTTTGGAAGGGAAGGTTAGTGCAGATCCCTTGTCCAATCCTTATGGACATGTTATGCTCCGTAGATTACTTATGCTATTAGGTCATGCGATTGTCGTAACAAACTTGGTTCATTAACTTTTATAATGGCAGCGGGTGGAGTTATTTGTAAGATCAGTAAGAGACCTAACCGAAGAAAGGTAGAGGAATCATTTATTTATCTGTGATTGATGAGATTCGTACAACAGAATAAATATTTATATTCTTTTACGCATCTTTTACAGTGGATTAATTCTTAAAAAACTAGATAAGAAGTTAGAGAGGACTCTTCTGCATTCATATCGAAAGGTATGCTATCTATCAATTTTGTTGTGAATTCCTGAGTACTACATGTTTTTCTCGAAGTTTTATGTGTATATGCGCCAGTTTTTCTGAGATTGGAGGTCTGAGCATTTGATAAGTGTCTTTATAGGCATAAATATACAATTTTAACATTTATGTTAAGTAATTTTTTTGTAAACTTATTTGTTGTGGTGTTGATCTTATAGAACAGGAAGATAGTT